TCTTTTCCAGTAGAAGTGTCTATTTTTTCTTCCCCTTCGTTGACGATGGTGTAATACTTAGGTTTTTTCAAGTGATTCACATTTGAATTCGCCTAGGAAGTACAAAATAAAGCATTAGTCAGAAAATGCGTGAGAGAGAGAAGTGTAAGACTGAGAGTAAGGGGTGAGGAACTCTAGAATATCTGACAGTGAAGTGACTGAGTTGATCAAGGCTTTGAAAAAAATTATGGGTGAAAATTTTGGGGGGAAATGAGAGGATCTGTGACCGTTGGATGAAATGATTTGTAACCATTGGATTTGTTTGTTGAAGTTGCCCTATTTTATATTATAGATAATTCTCTACGTCCAAGTGTCCCAAATTTTATTGAAGTAGAGGGTTGTAACTGACCACCACGAGAACATAACTGCAAGAAGGTCATGCCTGAGTTGCTTCCATTATATGCATATTTCGAAGCCACCCTTCCATTCGGAACCCTTCCAAGGTCTCTGCTTAGGTGCCTAATAACTGTGATCCGTTATTTATTCAATGATAAATTATATTAATGAGTTAAATTAAGGAGAAATTGGAAAGAGGTATACAAAATTAGACTTAATTGCAAAAAAGTATACAGAAAAAAATGTTGGGTAATGAAGTCCTTAATTTTGATACTTATATATATATAAAGTATGTATTCATGTATGTATAAATACGTAAAAATATATATATAAATACGTATATATATATATATATATATTTGTTGTTAAATCTCTTATTTAAATTTTGAATTATTTTTAATGCACCTTGATTCATGCGTATTTTTTTTTTGTAAAGTGATTTTGTTTTCAAATTATATTTAATGCACCTTGATTCATGTATTTTTTTTTTGAAAGTGGTTTTATTATTAAATTAATTTAATATCCGAATAGTGTAACAATAATAATATAACAATGTAACAATAACAGTGTAACAAACTATTTACACCAAATATTATACTATTATTTTTTGTCAAACATATAGTTTTATATAATTTCATTCAAAATAGTCTATCTCTATTTTGAATTTGTTACTACATGCACAAAATTACTGAACACTGTTTTTGTTACAGTGTATTGTTACACTGCCTTTGTTACGGTGTATTTGTTATACTTTTATTGTTACACTTTTATACTTATTATTGTTACACTGTTATACTATTTAGATATTAAATTAATTTGAAAATAAAACCACTTTAAAAAAAAAAAAACGCATGAATCAAGGTGTATTAAATATAATTTAAAAACAAAATCACTTTCCAAAAAAAAAAANTAGATCGAAGTTAGTTGGAATGACAATTAGGTCGAACGCAATTGTAGGTGTTAGAAAACATTCTAAATTATGTGTCCGTATTTTTTTGTGTGGAAGGTGTGCTATAGTGGCTCGGTGCAATGGAGTTAGGTCTTGCAAATCATGACATAAGGGTTGTGAGGGAGTGTAAATCACCAGTATTTTCCTATGCAACTATCCAACAGGGCAAAAACAATACATTACAACTATATTTTTCTTAAGAGCAATAGAAATACTTCTCAATCCGAAGACATTAATCAAAAAACTTACCAAAGAGGCAGACATATTTTATTTTCCATTTTTCAGGCAATTAGTGGGTGTGCGACATATTTCTGACTTTGAAGGTGCAGTATGATTGTTAAAGAGTTCTTGTTTCCCGCCCAAGTACACATTCATTCTGGCATTGTAGATAGTTAGTTTTAAGTGTTTTAATCCAAATACAAACGAAGAGAATATTAAATGTACCTCGACATTGCACAACTAATTAGGTGAATGTTCAGCCAATATTGTACTAAGAGATGGTTGGAAACGCGATGGGATTGTATGGTAATCTGCATTAACCATGTTAGCAAGTGTTGCATGGTTAGGGAACTGGGAGAGGGACTGGTGTCGCCTCCCTGAATTAGTTGTTGTATTGGGCACGCGAGTTGGCGTCACGCGAGTGTTATTCCCAAAACGTTCTCTTTCCCGACGTGCGTGCTTTGCCAGCTCGCGCAGCGAGCACGTACTACTATCGTTGCGATTTCGTTCACGTCTGGTGTGTTGGGCCTCAATTTTAGAGGAAACGAAATTTGATGCAGGAGCCTAAGATAGTAAGTGACGTGTGAAATAAGTTAAACAATTAGTAAACTAATATAATTTCAAATCCCTAGTAGAAATTGCATTAATCTACAGTAAGTAAATACAATGTAGCAATTTATGAAAGAAACAAAAAATTAAGAAAATTAACTAAGAATTAATCACATTAACTCAATTTATAATATGTAAGAATGACTAAGGAAAACAATACATAATTTGGACAATATGTTAGCGTGTCCAAAAACATAACTTTTTAAAATCAAAAGCATAATAAATATTACTCTCATAATAATACCACAACACAATAATTCTCCTCGATGATGGTATGGAGTTGTGTGTGCGTGAGAGAGAGAAATGTAAGATTGAGAGTGAGGGGTGAGGAACTCAAAAATATCACCGACAATGTAGTGTATATCGCTCTAACCGAAATACCAACACGTTAAATAGCTATTAGATATGTTGTGTTTAATAATTTTTATTGATACAATAGGATCAACACATAAACAAAGATTAGTACAACATACTGGTTAAGTAAACCAATTTTCTTTTCCAGTAGAAGTGTCTATTTTTTCTTCCCCTTCGTTGACGATGGTGTAATACTTAGGTTTTTTCAAGTGATTCACATTTGAATTCGCCTAGGAAGTACAAAATAAAGCATTAGTCAGAAAATGCGTGAGAGAGAGAAGTGTAAGACTGAGAGTAAGGGGTGAGGAACTCTAGAATATCTGACAGTGAAGTGACTGAGTTGATCAAGGCTTTGAAAAAAATTATGGGTGAAAATTTTGGGGGGAAATGAGAGGATCTGTGACCGTTGGATGAAATGATTTGTAACCATTGGATTTGTTTGTTGAAGTTGCCCTATTTTATATTATAGATAATTCTCTACGTCCAAGTGTCCCAAATTTTATTGAAGTAGAGGGTTGTAACTGACCACCACGAGAACATAACTGCAAGAAGGTCATGCCTGAGTTGCTTCCATTATATGCATATTTCGAAGCCACCCTTCCATTCGGAACCCTTCCAAGGTCTCTGCTTAGGTGCCTAATAACTGTGATCCGTTATTTATTCAATGATAAATTATATTAATGAGTTAAATTAAGGAGAAATTGGAAAGAGGTATACAAAATTAGACTTAATTGCAAAAAAGTATACAGAAAAAAATGTTGGGTAATGAAGTCCTTAATTTTGATACTTATATATATATAAAGTATGTATTCATGTATGTATAAATACGTAAAAATATATATATAAATACGTATATATATATATATATATATTTGTTGTTAAATCTCTTATTTAAATTTTGAATTATTTTTAATGCACCTTGATTCATGCGTATTTTTTTTTTGTAAAGTGATTTTGTTTTCAAATTATATTTAATGCACCTTGATTCATGTATTTTTTTTTTGAAAGTGGTTTTATTATTAAATTAATTTAATATCCGAATAGTGTAACAATAATAATATAACAATGTAACAATAACAGTGTAACAAACTATTTACACCAAATATTATACTATTATTTTTTGTCAAACATATAGTTTTATATAATTTCATTCAAAATAGTCTATCTCTATTTTGAATTTGTTACTACATGCACAAAATTACTGAACACTGTTTTTGTTACAGTGTATTGTTACACTGCCTTTGTTACGGTGTATTTGTTATACTTTTATTGTTACACTTTTATACTTATTATTGTTACACTGTTATACTATTTAGATATTAAATTAATTTGAAAATAAAACCACTTTAAAAAAAAAAAAACGCATGAATCAAGGTGTATTAAATATAATTTAAAAACAAAATCACTTTCCAAAAAAAAAAAATACGTGTAAATCAAGGTGCATTAAAAGTAATTCAAAATTTAGATAAGAGTATATATATATATATATATATATATATATATATATATATATATATATATATATCTATATAAACAAACACATAAAAAAAAATAT